CCCCCCCCCCGCCACGATGCAGGAGGTCTGGGGAGCATAGCCCCCCCAATTATACGGCTAGGGACAGGCATTTTTTATATTTTTTACCATATTTCAATAATATAAACATGGCTATATGGCTTATAGGATGGTATTCATAGTTCAATCTTATATTTAAAATCATCTTAAATATTATCTTAAGATATCATGAACCAATCACAGAGCCGTATTCGCATCTTAAGATATTATTTTCCCAGGAAAAAAATGAAAGGGATTGCATTAGATATATGTAGATCAAAGGAGATCTCATGAGATCTCCATTTTTACCTGATCAAAGTATATCTCAGTATATCTATAATATCGGTATATATATATATATATATATATATATATATATATATATATATATATATATATACACACATTGTTACGTTCGCGCACTCACAAGGAATGAAACAACGCACGTTTAAGAAAGAACGTAAACTTTTAATTATAAACTCGGAGATTCTCTTTTAAAATACGACGTGACACATTTTCACAAGGCCAAGGCTCAAATGTGACAACAAACCGTTGTTTACAATAATTCCTTATAACCAAGAGACATTGGTTACCAGTTAACACAAGGGAAATGCAAGTTATATACATTCAGTTGTTGCTTGACGGAGACGAGACACCCAGTGTCACGGACGTAACACTGCCCAGACAGCACAAGATCTCCTGAGGACGTCCTAAGGACGTCCTGAAGACGAAGAAATGTCCTCAGGACTTCCTCAGGATGTCCTCTGGATATCCCCTGGACATCTGTGCTATTAGGGCTGTTCCCCTTCCTTTAAGAATTGTCGTCCCAACAATACATCATAGAGTCTTCCATCTTCTTTTCAAGAACTTCATGTTTCTTGTTCGACCCTGAGCTGCTGCTTCAGGTTACCGAACCTCATGATTTCTTTTTCAAAAGAAGAATTGACTCCAACACATCGGGACTGCTCCCAAGAAGAGATGTTATCACAACATGGTGTTGAAACTTCCTCCGCCACAGCATCCTTCCTCTGGTCTTCGGACAAGGGGGGGAATAACTTATGTGGACCCATTATCCAAAAGGATTTCCCAAGTCCCCACCTTGGCATTTGCCCAGATATAAAATCAGCCCCGTGGAAAAACCACAAATCAAAAACCACGAGGAAGGTGGTCTTCTTTTTCTTAGGTACCAATTTCTTTGGAGACTAATAACTAAAACAACAAAATATAAAACGCAAAATTTCTACTCTTTTAAAGTTAAAATACGGTCTTACAACTCTTATAGAAATATCATACTAAGACTCATTGATAATTACTTATTATCCAGTATTTTTAATACTGAAAATAAATAATTATCAATGATTCTTAATATGATATTTCTATAAGGGAATTCTTTAATCAAAAGACTAAAAGACGCTAACCTATCTGCATGAACTATTTTTTTTTCGATGTTTACTTGATTTTGAAATACAATATACTACCTCATTTAAACATTTTACTATCTCATAAGGATCTCATCTTCTCAATCACTTTGTAACTTAGGAGATCTTCCTAATTTTCTTCATGGATTAAACAACCAGACCTTTCCCCTTCCTTAAATAAAGACTTTCCCTCTAAAACGGAACGCGCTTTTCTCCTCAAACAAGAAACTAATGCTGCGGTTTTCGCCATTTCCTCCCAACCGTTTGCATGTGCAATAAAATCGAACTGCGGAAAGAATTCACGCATCGGAACTGTTCCGTCAAAAATATCAGTCTTTGATTTAAAACCTAGATCAATTTTTGTTCCCCCGGAAGCTTCCGCGTTTTGAATAATAGGATCTTGACTTAGCTGCGTTGCTCCATCTGTTGTCGCATCTGATTACACTGATGTAATGCAGATTCGAGCTCAGCCTGCCGTTCCCGCTGCTCCTGTTATTCTCTCTCAATCTCCTGTCGCTCTCGTTCTCGATCCCGTCGCTCCTGCTCACGTTCCTCCTTTAGCTCTCGTATCTCTTGAAGCATGGCATATCGGAGTCCAATGTCGCAGCCGCTGTCTGAGTCTGAGCACGAGTCCTCCTTGGAGAGTGTGCCGTTGCCATATTTTTGACACTAATTGTCTTTTTTACTTCACTTTATTCCCCGAAACGTTTATCGAACAGCGGGTCCCTGACCGTCGGATCACAAACAATCGGACGAGCCTCCAAAATGTTACGTTCGCGCACTCACAAGGAATGAAACAACGCACGTTTAAGAAAGAACTTTTAATTATAAACTTTTAATTATAAACTCGGAGATTCTCTTTTAAAACACGACGTGACACGTCTTCACAAGGCCAAGGCTCAAACGTGACAACAAACCGTTGTTTACAATAATTCCTTGTAACCAAGAGACATCGGTTACCAGTTACACACAAGGGAATTGCAAGTTATATACATTCAGTTGTTGCTTGACGGAGACGAGACACCCAGTGTCACAGACGTAACAATATATACACATACACACACACATGTGTGTGTGTGTGTGCGTGTGTGTGCATGTGTGTTTATTTCATTAGATATAATTTTTCACGAAAAAGATTCACTCTCTTTTCCTAAACTTTTCTTAAAATTTTAAACAATATGTTCTTAGTTTTCACTTTATATTGTCTCACACACTACTTAATTCAAGTTAAATTGTACTTCGAAAATTTGCTTATTCTTATCGAGATTCGAACCTGAGATCTCTGGTTTATGAGTTGTTCACCTTATCTACTGCGCCACTATTACTTTGACTGAGAGACGCTTTATATTGTATACATATGGTATATCTATGTACGGAAACAAATTATTTATTTAAAAGAAGAGAATATATATATATATATATATATATATATATATATATATATATAGATCCTTTTAAATGTAAAAAGTATGTTTAAAAAGTATGTAAAAAGTCTATTTAAAAAGTACTTACTTGTTTTAAAAGTAAGTAAAATACGAATAAATCATTTGTAAATTTAAATAAATTGTTTCCTGATAATACCCTTACAGAAATATCATACTGAGAATCATTAATTAATTACTTATTTTCAGTATTAAAAGTACAGTATTTAGTAATATTCTATGATTTAAGTACAGCTTTTAGTGCTCAAGTATTTCAATATTTAATGTTACAATACTACCTTATGATTGATTTCAATACTTAAATATTGATATGTAATACTTCGTCCAGTGATAAAATACTTACGCAGAGCATTGTCAATATTTAAATATTAATATATATTAAGACATTGAGTAAGTTCTCGCTGATTTTTCGTGAAAATTAATACTTTATTTTAAAAAAAGTCGTAAAAAACATGTCACTGAATGTATTGTCCATTGCTAGCCACTACTTTTTCCCATCTTTCTGGCAACATTTGAATTTCACGTCGGAAAAACGACACGTCTTTTGAGGCTATCCAAGAGTCGACCCATTTTTTGGCATCTTCATAAGAATGGAAGTGCTGCTCAGCCAGGCCATGTGCCATCGATCGGAACAAGTGATAATCGGAAGGAACAATGTCTGGTGAATATGGCGGGTAGAACTTCCCACTTAAGCGTTTCC